GAGGGTTATGACAGCTGGTTCGCTGGGCCTGCCGCAGCTGAAAGCTTTGACGGCACGGCCAGTTTGAAGCCAGAACCCTCGATCTGCCACTCTGGATTCGATCCTCTTGACTGTCGCGACGGCGATCATTCCTCTGGAGGGTATCGCATTGACTGAGAAACGAGCATGAGCTCAGCTCAGCTCCCTCTTCTCGCCGTCGCACCATCACGATCCTCACGGCAATGCTCCCTCCGTGAATGCAACAGTGGAGGCCTGCCCTTGGCATTCCCTTCATGCGATATGACCTGGCCAATGGAAGTAATGCCTCACGACGATATAGCTAGCTTCTGCTTGGCTGCGCCGGTGGCATTACCTGTCGAGGGAAGGATCTTGGTGAGCTCCTTTGCGCCGCGGAGAAGACGACATACGCTGTATACCTGGATCTGGGCTGATCTGTGACGAGAAGGATCTCAGTGAGCTCCCTTGGGACGGTGGAGACGACGACATGCGCTGATGCCTTGATCTAGACTGATCTGTGACGAGTAGGACCGATTTCTGGCCAACATGGCTGTGGCAGGTGGCAATCTGCATGACAATGGCATCATCGAAGGCTAATTACATGTAGATCAACCAGTGATTCTCGATAATGACGATGACTTGGATAAGGCACGTGCTGGAGGGTCAGGCCGAAGGCGCTTCTGGTAAAGTCGATACCGGGCGTATTAAACTGGACGCGAGTCTGTATAAGTCCCTTCCAACCTCAGAACTCGCCTCAGCACCGACAGAGTCTATTGATACATCTGGTCCATGGTATGACGTTGAAGAGGGCCGCTATGTTGAGGAGACAACCCCAGGACTTGGGTCTCACGAGCAGCACAGCGTGCCTTCTCCCGCACAAGGCCCAACCACTGCAAGATCAGAACCACCAGCAAGGTGTCGGCAGTATCACTCGAAACACGTCAGTGGAGTCTGCGCTCCACTCCCTCCCCAAGTCTTCCGACAGCGGCGATGATGGATAGACAGATGAGAACATGGCTGAATTGGAGAAGGAACTGGGGACGGCTTTGGGAGAGTAACAAGTGGAGTCATCATCGGCCGGCACACCTACCTCCCCAAGTCTACACTCGGTCGAGGTACCACAGAACGAGATCCAGAGTCGAGAATACACTGAAACTACCGGTAGCAGACCAGAAGAGCTGCAAGATGTTTCTCGACATGGCACAGCTTAGGGCCTTGAGGAGTGGGAGCAGCAGGAGACTGAGGTGGTGGTGGAAGGGGGAGCCGTAGCGATGCAGCAGCAGGAAGAGCTTGCAGCACAGAAGGAAGAGCTCGGGTAGCCAGCTGTGAGTGATTAGCAGGACTTGGTCGAGGCCGTTGACGCGGACGACCCTGAAGACAAGGATGCCACCGAGGCTCTGCCAGCCGCGCAACCCAAGATCCCCGAGATCGACGAGCACCGTTTTCGACTGCGTGGGGTACGAGGTTGCTGGACGCCAGACAAAAACAACACAGTACCGAGTTGTATGGGGGGAATATCCAAATAGGTTAGATTCTTGGTTCAATGAAGACGACGTACGAATATCAATGCCATGGCCGCCTTGCGAACTATACTCTCAAAACTTGGCTCTATAGGCAGAAATGGACATTTTCCGAGTTCGCGGCATACGCTCTAGCCGGCGTAAAGGCAGAAAAGTTTTCGAGTACCTGGTCGATGCGTTCGGTCTCGATGCCCGCACTTGGATCACTGAAGATCAATTGAGAATCTCACTCAGCCCTATGTTGGTCGCTGAGCCTAAAGGTAACTGGTTACCTCATGAGGGCCCGTTTTGGAAATCTTGAGGAACAGGTTGCTGACGGAACACATCTCGAATAGTGCCTTCTCCCCATCCAAGCAAACCAGATGATAGAGACTCCTCCAACATTGCTGTGTCGACAGACGCTGATCCTCTCCAGACGATAACACAGGCGACGACATTTTGATGGCGTATCGGAAGAGTCTCCTCCGTGCCATCGTGAGCTGGTGAGGGCGAGTCATAGCGATTTTCTTCTACCTCGTTCTGAACCGGGAGAATTTTGTTCTATGACCGTTAGGTCGGATGGCTGCACATTCTTACTTGTACATATGAGGATAATGAGGAATGGCGGATCTATTGGCAGTAGGCCTATGAGGATTACGGCCGCTCAAAAGTATCACTTATCAGTTCCACACTCTTTAACAGAGTCTGGATTGTCAACAATATATATTATCATTTAAGCAATAAACTATTTAGACGTGGCATGTGCGATTGGTCGGTTCGTAGTGGTAGAGTGAGATCGTTCATTTCTTCGCGTGCTGTAACGCCAGATGAAAGACAGAACTCAGCAATATAAGTAAGGCCGGCATACAGGTTGCTTGTTTTACTAAGTTATGTAAGCTTTCCGCAACGAACGCTATAAGTTAGCCAAGTTCTCCTGTGCTCGCCGTGTTCCAGTTCAAACCCTAATAGGCATCGACACCTACCAGTGGCTGCCTAGGTTATCAAACCAAGACCAACTCCTACTCCTCCACATCTCCAAGAAGCCAAGGGTCTTCTAATAGCTCAGAGGGCGACGCTCTCGATTCTGGCGTCCACCTGACCATTTTGCGGACGAAGTCGAGGAAGCCTTTCTTATTGGAACCCTCGAGATTCCTCTCGGAATCTTCCCAAGACACTGATAGGACAGGATTCAGACACTTCCAGTTGCCTTCGTATGCATATTAGGTTGGCGGATGCGCATCCTTGGAACCAAGTACTTACCTCTGTCATCGAAGTAAACGGAGCTGCACTCGCTTCGCTGGAGGAACTCGAGGGGAGGAGGTCCCAAAAGACCAACTATACTAGCAAGATTGAAGCGGTTCCCATACTTGCCAGTCTCGGGGTCAAGCCCATCGAACATGCGTCTGTTCTCGAACATGTCCCAGACCTAGAAGCTCTCATTAGTTTCGTGCTATTAGCCACATGCAGGGAATCTCGCACCATGACTCCGACGTTCCATATATCCACAGCATAGCCCCAGGGCATCTCTAGAATGACTTCGGGAGCCCGGTAAGGATCCGGCTGGATGTCATGACAGTGCTCGGCCTGTCCGTTCCGAGCGAGGGAGAAGTCACACAGGATCGGACGGCCAAACCTTGTTGGAATACCGAAGTTTGCGCTTTTGTAGAGATTGTACCCATTGACACTTTTGTAGAGGCTCGATGCCGCGATTTCTTTTGTGTCCAGCTGTTCCACGATGGATGAATCGACCAAACCCAGCAAGATATTCTCTTCTTTTATATCTGGCACTCTGTCAATGTTTTCCAAAGCATAGTGAGAGGAGCGACCTCACCTGTGTGGATGATATGGCACTCGCTATGCAAGAAATCTAGTGCGAGCAGCAAATGGATCAAAATTTGCTTGAGCATTGCCTCGGGCAGTTTACGATCTGGGCGAGTATACCGGAGGCTCAATATGTCGTTGGAAAGGACCTCGTGAACTAAACATTGATGAGGATTCCCTGCTCTGCTCGTGACAAAGAAGGAATCCTGAATGGTGCGGACATACATCTTGCCAGGATGGTCGGGGTTCCCCGCGGTGCTGAGATGTTTGTAGATGGCAGTTTCGTTGTCAATCTCATCTTCTGCAACCAAATCGTGGGCGTAAATCTTCAGTGCGGCATATTTATTCGTGCTGGTATATCTGGTCAATGCTAGGCTCCACCTCACGCCCTCCGAGTTTCACTCACGCCAGGTTACGACAGCACCATATCGTGCTTGCTGATCCGAAGCCAAGTTTTGCCACGACCTTATACTTTTCATTGATGACTTCGCCCAAGGTCATCGGGTAGAACTTTTCGAAGCCCACCTCCCTCTCTTCTTCAAACGGAGTGGCCGAGGATGACATGGAGCGCGATGTAACGCGGCCTGCGCGACATAAGAAGGAGAATGAAATAAGGCCAGATCTATCCAAGACTGGCGTTCGCAGCCGCAAGAATATACGAGGATGAGAAAACATGGAAATCAAAACAACGGAAAAAAAATTATCTGAATTGTTTCTCAGATCAAACAGACGATTATTATTTTGTTCAATTAATTGCAAATAATTCAAGCAATTCCTTGTATTTTTTTTATTTTTTTTTTTACAGGGGTTTTTTGATGAGAAAAGGTTAGCTGTTGACTCAAATGAATGGCCAGGTTGGTACGACCTAGCGAAGCATGATATCCTTAGTCAGCGTTAATCTCACACAATTGGAAACGACGCCATTGTTGCGCGGTTGGCAATAACGGTATAGTTATACCTATATTAATAATACTCTGCATCGTAGGTACCGGGGGTTTGGTTCCCTCGTCGGCCAATGTTTTTCCCTTTAGAGGTGTAACTTTCCATACCTAGGTGCTAATTATACCTAATGTCGTTCGCATGGTTCGTAAGTCTGAATTCTCTGTTTCCTGACCGGAATCTCGACACCTCCCAACCATCAAGTTCACGTGATCTCGCGCCGCCTTTGCTCAGGCCAGCGTTCCGCACAAGCAAAACGAAACAAACAAAGCCCTTTTGACTGATTTTGACTGATTTGGGCCTCTAGTTTTCGTATTTGACTTGGCTCAGATACTTGCCAAATATATAGGCCAAACAAAAATTTAGCGCTCAGCGCTTTTTTTTACTCCGAATGGCGGCCCAGAGGCCTTCGAATGTCTTCGTAGCCATACAGCTATACAGGCTATACACTAACGCGGTCAACACGGATAGCTAGCAAAGTTAGGTAATCTTAGGTGTGGACGTAGGCAAGGGTAGATAGGTAGGGGTAGATAGGTAGGGGTAGATAGGTAGATAGGTAGAGTCAGCGAAACCTTTGATTTAATGGTTAAAGATAATTATCAACATGTTATGTACCTAGGTATGGAACTTACATCCCGAGTTTTAATTCTAAAAGGTGGAGATAAATATACATCAGCAGGCCTAAGCAATACCTATGTAAAGTTTTGTTAAGCTGTGTACTTTTAGTACCTGTAGCATGTGGTGCTCCTGATAGCTCAGTTGGTAGAGCGTTGGACTGTAATTGTCATAAATAACTATGGAAAATCCACAGGTCGTGTGTTCGACTCACACTCAGGAGACTTCTTTTTTCCCTATCGCTTAATAATTATTTTTATTTCTGAAGATAAATATTTAATTTTATTCCGCACTTTACAGGTTGGGTTAATATTTATGCAGAACCCTTCTTGTCCTACTTCGTCCCGCCTTTCTGTTAGCCGTTTGTAGTCGCGGGGTTAAGAGTTTTAGGAGCTCAGCATATAAAACGAGACGACCAGCTCAGACGTGCACTTCCATTCCGATGCCATTTTTTCGCCACCATATTAGGACATCCATTTCTTGTTTATCGGATCTATCACTACGGCTAGGCTAGTATGCTACCATTTACTAGGGCAGAGAACACAGGAAGAATAACTCGCGACTCAAAGACTAGTTGGAGCTGTTAGTATTGGCACTACCTAGGTGAGATTTACGGTTTCCTTTGATGTTCGCATTCTCTAGCAACGTCTATATCAGTCATGGATGCAGCATGTAGCTAACTGACTACCCATCATGCGTGATGGGAAGCGAATCAACCGAGTGTACATACGTGATGCCGACGGTCCTAAAGATGAATTCAAGGAACCAAGTGAACTCTATCGCCGAGGAAGGTTCGTCGAGAGTCTAAATGTTGAAAAACCAAGGGGTTGTTATCTTGCCCCTGATACCAACCATCCACGAAACCACTGCAAGTGTTACGCTAAGTCTTTTCTCTATAGCTAATGTTCTATGTCCTCGGCATTGGTAGCTATCAATAACACATTATAAACAGAACTGTTCCGGTTTAACTGACGGACATGCGACCTCTCCCACGAACAACTACTAGCCCTCATGAGCTTCACCCGTCGATGGTGTCGTAGGTGTAGCCCTAATCAGCTCGTCACCCGTTGACTGAGGTATCAAACGTTCTACCGCGCGTGTCGACTCCCAATGTACCGTCCCGTACCTATACAGCTCGCCAAACGTGCCCGGTCTATGGTCTGCGTCCTTGAAGCCGTCTTTCTTCACCACGTCCCCGAGAGCTGGTAGACCGCCTGCCGAGTTGTGGTAGACCTTGTACATATGGCTCTTCTCCAGCATCTCAATAACGAACGCCTCCGCGGCCTGCCTCTTGCTCTCGTCTGGGTCATCGAGTGGCGTTGTGAAGAGCTCGGCCTGCTTGTACCCGTCGTAGTCGGTCCTGATGGCCCCGAGAATACCATTTTGTATCCCCTCCACCATGAATACGTTGTTCTCCCAGAACTCGCGCCCGTTCCAGCCTGAGCTGACGTCGAGCAAGTTCTTTGTGCGATCGCCCAGAAGCATTTGGGCCACGTAATCGCTCATCTCGAACACGCGTTCCTTGAAGTGCCAGTCAGACAGACCTTCGGCAATACCAATTTCCTGCACCAGGGGTGATTTGTGGAAGTTGGTCGCGCTAGTACGCCCTCTCCACAGCTCCTTGTAGGAGTTATGCCAGTTCTGGATGAAGACGCAGCCCTTGCGCGCGGCCAGCATGAAGTTGCCGAAACTACCCCATTGCTTTCTGATCTGCCCGGTGATGATCCATACACCCATCTCATAAGGCGAATCCGGAGCCGTCAGAGCATTCCAGAATAACTGGTCAAGGTGGGTGTGCAGCATGTTTCCGACGTCCATCCAGACACCTCCGTGCTCGTACAGCAGCGGCAGCCGTACGAGGTCGGCGGCATGTTGCGCCGCGTGCCGACCGTCCATGGTTCGGTTTACGAAGCAGTCGGGGAACCAGTCCTTGCTCACATAGTTGTAAATGTTGTTCGGCGAGTCGTCAATGAGATCGACGAGGCGGACCGTCCAGGAGCTGCCGAGCTTTCTCACCCAGTTAAGCACGGTGCATCGGTAACTCGGGTACATTCGATCCAAACCCTTGTCCCAGAAACACCACACGTTCTTTTCTGAGGTGATGGGTCGAAATGAGCGGAGTTCTGCTACAATCTCCTCTTCGGGCCGTAGGTCTAACAGAGAGTCAGGCACCACGCGAAGGCCAGTTGCCGACTGGGGTAGCGTAAGCTCGGCCATTTCGGTCTGGGAAACTGTGTCTAGCTTATTCGAGAGGATGGTGAGTATTGTGAATTATGAGAAGTGTCTTGAAGTCGCTGTAATATATGTGTCGCTTGATTGTTGTAACTTGATTTCGGAGTTCTTGTTGTGATACATTTCACTTTTATATATGATAACGTACTCAAGATACTCTTCGACAAAATTTACCCCCTGGACTATGATTCATAGTGATGGCTCTATGGTGTCCCTGACTAAGCCACATCGCGCCGGCGAGCCCGCTCCGTAGAAACGGGTCAGGGACTCGCGATTATCTTAGATACGGCTTCTGTATAATTTACAACGAGATACCAAGCAACCTTTGCTATGGTTGATGGCATTGCAAAGGGATCAGAAACGGCTAGCGGGGAGCCGTTTGGGGTAATCTTCTCCTTGGCGGACGGTCTGGTCTAACCCAAGATAGTCTCCTAAAGTATGATTCATAGTGATGAGGTCCATAGGGCTGAGCCACTCATCCTCTTACCTGCACTGCTACTCTATGGTATGGCTAGACCTGCTCAACTACACCCTACCGTCAAGTGAAGAGAATCATGTCTCATAGTGACGAGAATGCTCGGCGGATTTGGGTAACACTGCTTTATCTGAGAAGGCTTAGTAGTCAACGTGCCATCGCACAGCATGAACTCCGCATCAGCGTAGAACCCCTTAATGGCTAGAAGGTGTGCGTACGCCTCTCATGATCAGAATGCGAAAAACACATAAGAGTCCGTGATGCGACCGGCGGCAATTCACTTCCTGTTCTCATCACCATCACAAACAACAACAACCCAGACGCTAGATTAGAGAACACAAGCAACTCACAATGATCGGTCTGAAAGATAAGCCGCAGGGCGTCGACATCGACCCCAACTTCAAGCCCATGCCAAAGTATGGCCATCTCTCCGAGAAGACGCCAGAGTTCCTGGAAGTCGAGGATGCCATCGGCGCTAGCTATGAGAAGCTCTGGGGATTACCTGATATGCCCGCCTTCCGCCAAGCTGCTGGTGACGCCGACGCTGCCATTCCCTCTGGGGGACCCGATCGATACCGCGAAGTGAAGACCGAGCTCTTGCATTTCCCTGCTCGTGACGGCCACTTGATCGAGCTGAAAGTCTACAAATCCCCAAACGTCGCGGCGGACGCGACCCTTATGTATCGCATGCACGGTGGCGGTATGAACTCTTTGGCCTTCATCTCTTTTTTATGTAGAGTTTGGCATGCTAACTTTTCTTGCCTAGGCTTCTGTGTTGGGCGACACGAGACAGATGGCGCCGAGAACGTCTATGCTGCCACAAACCCCAATATTGTCGTCGTCAGCGTGGATTATCGACTGTACGCGTATTCTTGATCATATTTACTTACATCTTGAAATCTTACTAACATGGCGCAAGAGCACCGGAGAATCCTTTCCCTAAACCACTCGAGGATTGCTATGATGGCTTGTTATGGGTACGCGTCTCTTTGTTCAACCTCACTCCTCACACCCCTATCTACTAAGTCTTGACTACTAGTGCAAGGAGAATGCGAAAAGTCTCGGGATCAACCCCGAGAAGATCATTGTTGGAGGTAGCAGCGCCGGTGCCAATCTGGTGAATTTAATAACGCCTTGATTAACAAGTCGCTTCCCACTAACACATCGACTAGGCTGCCGCGCTGTCCATTGTGGCCAGAGACGATGGTGTCTCTGGCATCATTGCCCAGGTGCTGCACTTCCCGTCGCTCTGCCATACCAAGTTCCTCCCCTTCGACAAGTACGAGCTTGGTAGTTACATCCAGAATGCCGAGAACTGCGTCCTCAGTCTCTGCAAGTCCGATGTTTTCACCAATTGCTATGTACCCAATCCCACGCCTGATTACAGACACTCACCTCTGCTCGCTCCCTCGTTGGCAGGACTCCCACCAGCACGTAAGTGAAATCCTACCTCCCTTCCAGACTCTAGGTCTTGCATGCTCTCCAATGCTATTCAAGCAAGTTCGCTAACGATTGGCCCATTCACCAATACCTTATAGTGATCCAATCCGCGGGTGTTGATATTTTCCGCGACATTAGTTTTGCCTATGCCGACGCCCTCGAGGCCGCTGGCGTAGACGCTGAGATGCACTGTTACGGAGGCGTGCCGCATTGTTTCCCCGCCGTTATTATTACCCATCCTCTCACACCGGTATTCTACAAGAAGTACAATGCGTTCCTGAAGAAACACGCAACGAGCTCAAGCTCGAGCTCGTGAGCCCAAATTGGTATGCCACATTGGTTTGATTCGTGGATTGTAATGCTGGCCTGTGGCTTGTACTTTAGCGTTTATGTACTTGAGAAACATCACGACCAGCATGTATTAATATAATCTTGTGTTGTTTGATAATGTACGCATACAGTTGGCGCCGACAAGTACTATGCGCTGCCTAGCCTAGTTAGTCGTGATAATTATGCATGTTGGCGGTTCATTATCCTCTTTTCAATTTCTTCCTTTTCGGCATGCCAATTCTCGATCAATCCTCTTCTGCGATCATAGCGTAAAGTGTCCACATTCCAGTTCCCCTAAGGCTTCTCAGGATACACAGCTCTGATAGTAATTATTCGTAATTAACAGCTGGGATCCCGACAGAGCAAAACAAATGAACACGATTCTGGACTGTTCTCACAGTAGGTAACCCATGGCCTGAAATCAATTCTCAAGGACGGTTCGATGGTGTGGTTAGACTCCACAAGGGTACAATTGTTGAAGATGGCGGGCCAATGGGCTTACTTGCGTGTTTTGATAGCCGTCGTAGGAGATTTTGCAGAGCGAATAGCGATTAGGGCTCAAGGGCTGGAGCAATAGGTGCGGTTATGAGCGGCACATTTCACATCGTCTTGAGAAGAATCTCCACAACAACAAGATGAGGCAGCACACACAACACTACGTACCAAGTAAACATATTGTAATAATAGAGTAAGTGATGCTACCGTTACTGAAAGAAGTCGAAGGCAGAGGGGAATTTAGGGCGGATA